AGAATCAATAATTTCCAAAAAGGCAATAGCAAATTTTATTGCTTTGACTGTCTTCCAGACAACAATCCATGAATAGGTTCTGCTTAGTCATAAACCAAGTACAGATATTCCAATCCATGAAGTGTAACGCCATAACAAGGTTCATTCCAATCCGAAGCTAGAATAAGACATTCCATTGTTATAGCTAATTACCAATAATTGTCAAGAAAACGAAATGTTTAAGTGGTCCATCCGAAATAACGAGGTTTAGTCCGATTGTACTCCAGAATCTAATATATCCTGATTTCGAATGAGCCAATATCGCATGTCCAATCCGTCGCATCATGATTTAGCCAAGACGAAATCTAAAGCTAATATTCCGATGATGCAACAACCTGAACACAACAAATGAAAAACAACTGCGATACTAAACAATGGGGGTTACGGGGTAATTTTGTTATATGTAAAGTGGAAAAATGTAAGTGTAATTTGGGACACCGCAGTATTCAAGGATTCCATCGTAAAATAAACAATAATAATATCTCAAATTAACGGGCCCCACGTTGGGCGCCAATAAAAATTCTATGTAGCATGCTAAGCAACTCAAAGGGCTATTAACGATATTTGACTAGCTCGCCGAAAATTGGGGGGTTCCTGAAAGTGATTTTGCCCTATAGAATCTTTATAAATTTTTAGATGTGAGTGGATGCGTAGTGAATGTGAGTGTGTTAGATGATCACCTACTTCGCCAGCGAGAATCAAAACAATATAATTAGATTACAACAACATTTTATTAAAGTGTTGTTAATCTAAAAGTGTCAAATGTGTATTCTGATTCATATTCAATTATGATTATATTAAAAATAAGAATTATACTGTATGTTAACAAAAAAAAAAATAACAACTCACCGAATGTACATTCGAGATCTTGGAAACAATTAACAACTTGATAAATCTAATTTTGAAACTACTGCCACTCGTATCTACACACGTGCAACGTAGTCCAATATTTCTGTAATGTTTTCGGCAATTTACGTCATTAACTTTTCTCCCAAAATAAAACCAACGCCTACTTGTTTTCCTACATTTTCCCCCCAGACAAGATCAGACTTGGAGGAATGATGAAATCAATCGTCCAAATCTGATTCACAATGAAAAATGATGACGACCGTCACTGCTTAATATCTTTAGCATGATAAATTCCCACAACATTACCCTGCAGATCTTCCAACTCATAGCAGGAATTTCCAATTTTTTTTCGTATCCGAGCTTTGACAAAAACCGGTTCAAGTTTAGCGTTATAACATTTAACAAAGCTGGATTGTTTAAAATTTCTTCGATTAACTTCTTGGCCTTCAACAAAATTCACCACCGTGGATCTTAAGTTGTAGCTCTTTTCGTTTCTGTTAAATTGCTTTGCTCTTCGATGTTTAGTTAATCGACTTGTTAACTGAACTGAATCCTCACGAGATAATCGTAATGAATGATCATCCAGAAGTTTAAGCTTCCGCGATAGGGAGTAAGCTTTACCGTTGGTAACCATGTGTTGACCAAATACAACATAATACGGTTCTTTACCGGTCGCAGAATGAATGCTCGACCTCAAAGCACAAGCTATACCACTCAGTTCTTCATCCCAATTCTTCTGATCTGCAGTCACATAAGACCTCATTGCTGTTATTAAAGGTTTGTTGACTCGTTCCGATGCATTGGCTTGAGGTGAATGAACTGAATCTCTTTGCAACGAATTGAGCTCCGTTATCCGTTACAACAGTCTCCGGCACTCCAAAGGTATGGATTACGTTTTCTTCTAAAAACTTACATGCCACCTCAGTATTGAGTCGCTTGACAGGTTTGATAAAAGGAAATTTGGAAAATTGATCCAATACTACCAGTATTCCGATATTTCCCCTACGAGAGCGTGGATAAGGACCAACAAAATCGACATAAAGTCTTTCTAGAAACCGGTCTGTGTCTGCCATTTTACCCATGGGTGGTCGGAGAATTTGGTTAGGATGCTTGTTAACTTTACAGGCTTCACAAGAGTTAATAAAGTCACGAACACTGATGACCATACCAGACCAATAATAGTATTTTCTCAAATTTTCCAAGGTTTTATTCATTCCAGCGTGCGCAGCCAAACAATCTGCATGAGCACGCCATAATGCTTCATTCGTCATTTCTCTTGGTAACCAGAGCTTCCAGGAAAATTCGTCATGCAAGGCGTCGTTGTGTATACTGTTGCTACGCCTATAAATTCGGCCTTCCGTTATTTTGATATCTGGGAAACTCGAGAGGTTTTCTTGAAATTCCTTGATCAAATTTAAATATTCGTTTGATTCAAAATAAGGAGATTCCAAGTCAACAAATATTTCATGATCTAATTCCGCAATGTCATAATTGTTTATTCTCGATTATGCATCAGGTACAACGTTAAGCTTACCTTTGCGATGAATAATTTTGAAATTAAAGGCTTGTAATTTAAGTGACCAATCTGACTAAGCGTGAAGGAAGTTCAGATTGGGACATCAACTATTTCAAGGAAGCATGGTCAGTAATTATTGTAAATTCATAACCTTCAATGTACGGCCTAAATTTTTTTACGCTTAGTACCGCAGCTAAGCATTCTTGCTCAGTGACTGTGTAATTACGTTGAGCCTTATTTAACTTTTTTGACATAAAGGCTATTGGTAACTCATCGCCTTCTTCATTCATAGAAAAATCAGGACTGTGAAGAACAGGAGCAGTACTTAACTTAGTTTTCAGCACATCGAATGCTTTCTGTGCTTCTGATGTCCAAAGGAACTTTCGTTTTGTCCCTGTAAGATCAGTCAACGGTGTCGAAATCGTAGCGTAATCTCCAATGAACTTACGATACTAGCCAGTCATTCCCAAAAATCGTCTTACCTCTTTTGTGGATTTCGGAATTGGAAAGTCTCGTATTGAAGAAATTTTCTCAGGATCGGTTCTTATCACTCATTTTCCAATTATATAGCCTAGATATTTGATTTCTTCCATAAAAAACTTGCTCTTTTCCACATTTATTGTTAATCCAGTCTCCCTAAATCTTTTTGCAATTAATTTCAATACCTCCAGATGATGAACAAATTCGTTCGAAACTATCAGCAAATCATCGAGATAAACGAAAACTTCTGTTTTCAACTCATTCGGGATAACTTTATCCATGAGACTAGACATCGTTTGAGGTGCGTTGCATAAACCAAAAGCCATAATCGTAAATTGATACAGCGGACGACCTGGCACTGTGAAGGCGGTCTTTTCCTTAGATTCCGCATCTAGGGAAATCTGCCAAAAAGCATCTTTTAGATCTAATCCCGTAATAAACTTAGCTTTTGGTAGTCTGCTTAAGATACCGTCAATGAAAGGGAGAGGATAAGCATCTTTAACAGTCACCATATTAACTTTTCGACTATCGAGACAAAGTCGATTTTTGCCAGGTTTACGAACTAGAACTACGGGCGAGCTCCATGGACTAAGTGATTCTTCAATAACTCCTAGATTCAACATTCGATCTAACTCTTCATATATCATCTTTTCGATCACAGGTGAGACAGGATAATGACGTTGCTTGATTGGCCGGCAATTACCAACATCGATTGAATGGGCAATAAGTTTAGTCTTTCCTAGTCCTTCTTTTGCAAATGACGGAAATAACTTGATTACATCCTGTAAGGAGCTTTTCTGCGCAGCATCCAGTTTGCAAAATTTGGCTTCTTGATTCTTTTCTTTGAATTCTGTGTCGCTAATTGAAAAGAGACTAAAATCAGGCAGAATATTTAAGGATTTCCAAAAGTCAATTCCCAAATATAATGATTGTGACAAGGAAGGAATAATGAACAACTCAATGGAGTTCTCAATACCTTTAAATTTGATGAGAGTTTTTAAAGAACCAACTATCTTTTGTTGTTTACCATCAGCAGTTCTTACAGTTGATGACATCTTTTTAAATGGAATGTTCATTTGGAGAATTCGCTCAGCTAGGGCATTTCCGACACAGCTAATAGACGCACCAGTATCTAACAAACCATCCACTTGTTCATCAAAAACGGTAACACGAGCGTAAGGACGAATATCGGTAGGATTGCTAATTATTGACGATAATAATTTAAATTTTAGTTGTTTCAAACTCCTCCAATACTTCTTCATTCTTTCTGATGATCTCCTTTTAGATTTAGCGATAAATTCATTTTTTTGAAAATTAACAGTTTTGCCGTCTATGGCGTTAATATTTTTCAATAAACGGTATGAAGAAGGTGGCTTAAGAGTTAATGATTTTTGTTTTTGCTTTTCAATTGTTTTGGGGCACCTTTCGGTGCCTTCGCTGCTACGTTTTTTGAAACATTACATTTTAAACACTTTGGTTTATAAGTATTAGGTAAACCGCAACCATAACAGAAAACTTTCCTTTCCACCAAACAATCTTGATAGCGGTGGCCATTTTCTTTACAATTCCAACAGTTCAGCGTTAATTCTGCAACAGCTTGAGAGTTGTCGTAACTGATAACTCCTCCACGGTGACTTGAGCAATTTTCCGGTGTTGATTGGATACCTTCACTTCATTACCTCTAGACTTAATATCAGACAGTATGAGTCCCCGCTTACGACAAATTTCGTGTAGTTGACTAATTGTGCTTATATGTAAGTTGACCAATCCAAGTTGAGTTCCTGGCAGCAAATTCCTTCTGACTATCTCCACAAGTACCTCTTCAGTTAGCGGGTGCTTCAATTTATCTGACAATTCTAGAATTGTTTCAAGAAAACTATCAAACTTCTCATTTGGATTTTTCTTCCTGTCTCTGATTAATTCTCGAAAATCAAAATCAGAACTGTCGACAGCACCATTTCACTAATTTGTCGTGAAAGTTCGGGAGACAAGGACTGCGAAGGATCGGTGTGTTCTGGTGTATTAGCCATAACTGTTTTATTACTCTCTAGCAGCCTAGTTTGTTGTCTACTTAATATTTGACCGAAAATATCTTCTATGGGCAAGTTGGTTTGGCAATCAGGGCAATGCTGAGAGTTATTCAGGGATGCTTTCAGACAAGTTCTACGAAAGGTGTGATCACAAATCGTTCTAAGAAAGTTCCTCTTGGGGTCTAGCTCGTTCAGACAAATAGAACAAATGAGTACCGATTCTGTCTGGCAAACTGATAAATCTTCTTCACTTCGACGTAACGACATGAGAAGGTACAGCAACAGAGTTTCAAATTATTCAAAAACTTAAAGTTAATAATTATAAAGATTTCTAAGAACTAATAACACAGTTGTGGTCTAGTAACGGTAATTAAAGTAAATTAATAATAACTCAGTTACATTGTTAGATCCTGGCTGGTTCGGTAGGTTTACATGTGTATGTAGATGTGCAGTATTAGTATAATGTAACAACTGAAAACAAAATAAATAAATAAACAGAATAAGCTGTTGCTATGCTTGGCTTGATCCAGTGTATTACCAGAATCAATAATTTCCAAAAAGGCAATAGCAAATTTTATTGCTTTGA